CCCACTGAGCCACCCAGGCGCCCAAGGTTTACAATTTCTTGAGTCAGCTTTGGTCATTGGTATTTTTCTAGCAGAAATATTTCATTTTTATCTGGATTTCAAATTTGATGGCCCATGATTGTATTTGTATTTTTATTTTTTATTTTTTTTATTATTTTTTTTTTTAAAGATTTTATTTATTCACTTGACAGACAGAGATCACAAGTAGGCAGAGAAGCAGGCAGAGAGAGAGGAGGAAGCAGGCTCCCCGCTGAGGAGAGAGCCCGATACGGGGCTTGATCCCAGGACCCTGGGATCATGACCTGAGCCGAAAGCAGAGGCTTTAACCCACTGAGCCACCCAGGTGCCCCTGTATTTGTATTTTTAAAATCTCATCAGATTATATCTCATTTTGTATTTCTAAGATTGTATATGTGTTTAAGATTTTTTTTCTTGGTTAAATTTGCTAGCAGCTTGTCTATTTTATTGATTTTTTTAAATAATAAGTTTATAGTTTTATTTACTCTACTGGTCAACTTTTTAATTCAAGTATTTCTACTTTTATCTTTAAAATTTGTTCCTCTTTTCTTTTGTGTTATTTTGTGGCTCTTTTTCTTAGCTTCTTGAATATTTACGGTTCATTTAATTTCAATCACATTATTATTATAAAAATAGTAAGAGCTAAGAATGCTCATCTAGCCTCTTCAGCCATGTGCTATTTTGGTCTTTAAAATAACCACTACATGGGCGCCTGGGTGGCTCAGTGGGTTAAGCCACTGCCTTCGGCTCAGGTCATGATCCCAGGGTCCTGGGATCGAGTCCCGCGTCGGGCTCTCTGCTCGGCAGGGAGCCTGCTTCCCTCTCTCTCTCTCTGCCTGCCTCTGTCTACTGTGATCTCTCTCTGTCAAATAAATAAATAAAATCTTTCAAAAAAAAAAATAAAATAACCACGACCTTGTTGGGCACAAAGTTCCTGTGTTATTCAAATCCATTATATCCTTGCTACCCAGATAACCACGACCTTGTTGGGCACAAAGTTCCTGTGTTACTCAAATCCATTATATCCTTGCTACTCAGACTAGCTGGGATCGGTGTCATCATCTGGGAATTTGTTTAGAAACACAGAATCCGGGGCCCCACCCCAGTTATATGAAATCAGAATCTGCATTTTTACAAAGTCCCAAGTGATAACTATATTCACGTTGGAAAAGTGCTATTTATATTCTTTTTCATCAGATGATTTGTTAGAATGAGAAGCATGACATATTAGTTTTTCCACTCTGATTGTAGTGTCTCACATTCTCTTTATATTTCTAATAATCTTTATAAAGTTTGAAGCCATATCATCTGACAAAAAAAAATTCATAACTTTTATGTCCTCTTGGTGAATCGTACTTTTTTTCCCCCAACATTTGTTTAACTTTTTTAAAACGTTTGTTTTACTTTTTTTTTTCTTTAAGGTTTTATTTATTTATTTGACAGAGACACGGCGAAGAGAGGGAACACAGGCAGGGGTAGTGGGGGAGGGAGATGCAGGCTTCCCACTGAGCAGGGAGCCTGATACAGGGCTCAATCCCAGGACCCTGGGATCATGACCTGAGTCAAAGGCAGAGGCTTAACAACTGAGCCACCTAGGCGCCCCATTAGCTTTTTTTTTTTTTTTTTTTTTTAAGATTGTATCCATTTATTTTTGTGAGAGAGAGAGAGCATGAGGTGGGGCAGGGAGGGAGCAGAGGGAGAACAGGGAGCCCAATGCAGGGCTCCATCCTAGGACCCTGTGATCACAACCTGAGCTGAAGGCAGCCGCTTAACCCACTGAACCACCCAGGCACCCCTAAATGAATAATCGTTAAAATATAAATGGGTTGGGGCGCCTGGGTGGCTCAGTAGGTTGGGGCCTCTGCCTTCTGCTTAGGTCATGATCCCGGGGTCCTGGGTTTGGGCCCCGTGTTGGGTTCTACTTGGCGGGGAGCCTGCTTCCCCCTCTCTCTCTGCCTGCCTCTCTGCCTACTTGTGATCTCTGTCTGTCAAATAAATAAATAAAATCTTTAAAAAAAATAGGTAAAGGATTTATTTATTTTAGAGAGAGAGCAGGGGGAGGGGCAGAGGGAAAGGGTGAGAGAGAATCCTCATGCAGACTCTGCACTAAACACCGAGCATGACTTGGGGCTCGATCCTAGGACCCAGAGATCATGACCTGAGTGGAAAGCATGAGTCTGCTGCTCAACTGACTGAACCACCCAGGCACCCCCGAAAAAACTTTTGAGATAATTGTAGGCTCATGTGCAGTTTTTTTTTTTTTTAAGTCGTTTCAGTGGTAGAATTTAGTGATTCATCAGTTGCATGTAACACCCAGTGCTCATTACATCAAGTGCCCTCCTTAATGCCCATCACACAATTATCCCTTGCCCCCACCCACCTCCTCTCCAGCAACCCTCAGTTTGTTTCCTAGAGTTCAATGTCTTTTATGGTTTGCTTCCCTCTCAACTTTCATCTTATTTTATTTTTTGCTTCCCCTATGTTCGTTTTGTTTCTTAAGTTCCACATATGAGTGAAATCCTTCACATGCAGTTTTTAAAAATAATACAAAGAAATTCCATGTACCCAATTATCTACTTCCCCCCCAACGGTACACATTTTAGTACAAATATCTCTACATGGATATGATAAAGCTATGATAGAATGCTACGAGCAGGATAATGCCACCGATATAGTCAGGACCTAGAACTGATCTGTCACTGAGTGACCCTTCATCTTGGCCATCTCCTCGTCAACTTGGCAATTGTTAATTTGTTTTTCATTTCCATATTTTATGATTTCTAGAATGTTACATAAATGGAATCATGGAGTATGTACCTTTTGGGATTGACCTTTTTCATTCAGCAAATTCTCTGGACATTCACCCAAGTTGCTGTGTGTATTAATTGTTCATTCCTTCTTATTCCTGAGGAGTATTTGCAGCATGGATGTACCATACTTTAATCACTCATCTGTTGAAGGACTCCAGAGCGGTTTCCAGGTTTTGGCTGTTTTGTTTTTGTTTTTTCTCTTTCAGTTTTTGGCTATTAGGAATAAAGTTGCTATGAACATTCATGTACAGATTTTTTGTAAACATCATTTTTCATTTCTCTGGGACGGATGCTCATGATTACAATTCCTAGGTCATTTGGTAGTTGTATGCTTTTTGTTTGTTTTGTTTTTAAGAAACAGCCAAACTGTTTTTCAGAGTGGTTGTACTGTTTTACATTATTACTAGCAATGTATTTTCCAGTTTCTCTACATTCTCACCAGGATTTGGTGTTGTTATTTTTATTTTACCATTACGTTTGTAGATTAATTTGTAGACAAGTGACATCTTTAGTATGTTGTTTTCCCACCCATGAACACAGTATGTTTCTCCATTTATTTAGATCTTCTTAATTTCATCAGCATTTTGTAATTTTCAGTATACAAGTCTTTTTTTTTTTTTTTTTGGTAAAGTTTTATTTATTTATTTGGGAGAGAGAGCACAAACATGAGCAGGAGGGACAAGGGGGAGGGAGAGGGAATCTCAGGCAGACTCTGTCCTGAGCACAGAGCCAGATGCCAGTCTCAATCTCATGACCCTGAGATCATGACCTGAGTCAAAACCAAGAATTCACCACTTAACCAACTGTGCCACCCAGGTGCTCTAGTATGCAAGTCGTATACGTGTTTTGTTAGATTTACATCCAAGTATTCCTTTTGTGTATGTGTGAATGGAACTGCATTTTTAATTATTTTAATTATATATATATTATTATATTTTAATTATAGTGCCCAAGTGTTCATTGTTTATATATTATATATATATATAAAAATGGGTTTTGTATTGTTTGTTTCCTGTGATTTTGCTGAACTCATTTATTAGTTCTGGGAAATTCTTTTTGTAGATTCCTTGGGATTTTCCACATAATCATGTCATCTATAAATAGAGACAGATCATTTTTTTTTCCAATCTGTATGCTGTTTTTCCCTTTTCTTGCCTTATTCCATTGTCTACAACTTCCAGTATATGTTAAATAATGGGGGTGAGAACAGATATCCTTGCTTTTTTTTTTTATCTTTTTAACACTGTAACAACCCTATGTCTTAATACTTTTTAACTTGAATTAACTTGAGTTATACTTAAAGTTGCTGTTCTCATTTGCATATTTACTTCTACTTCTTTTCCTATAAAATTGAAGAAGATATCTTAAAAGAAATGAGATATTTTCTATTTTTTAAAAGATTTATTTATTTATTTTAAAGATCGAGAGAGAGAGAGAGAGAGAGAGAGAGAGTGCAAACACTGGGGGAGGGGCAAAGGGAGAGGGAAAAAAACCTAAGCAGACTCTGCACTGGGCATGGAGTCCTATGTAGTGCTCGAGCTCATGACCCTGAGCAGAAACCAAGAGTCAGACACTTAACTGAGTGCACCACTCAGGCCCTCCAGATCTTTTATACTCCTAATGCCCATGATACTCTTCTGTATCTATGTCTTTCTTTTTCTTTTCTTTTCTTTTTTTTTAGAGAGTGTGCGCATGCGAGCAGAGGGGAGAGGGAAAGGGAGAGAGAATCTTAAGCAGGCTCTACATCCAGCACAGTGCCTGACATGGGGCTTGATTTCATGACCCTGAGATCATGAGTTCAGCCAAAATCAAGAATCCAATGCTTAACCCACTGAGTCATCCAGGTGCCCCTTATGCATTCTATTTCTAAATTTAAGGGACAAATACTGAGAAGAACGTCAATGTCATTGTTATAATCATTCTTTAATTATGAATTTCCTCCCAAAGGCACTTAGAAAAATGTACTTAAACATGCAAAATGCATCACAAGTACAATTAAATCCACATAGTGAAAAGCTGTAGCTGGATGTTTATGAATTTTAATTAGTTTGATGTAGAAAATAAAGAACCTTATTTCCAAATGTTGGAAAACTTTAAAGGAAATGTTTAACAGCCAAATCAGATGTATTAAACAGATATAAGAAAGTAACAGTATTTTTTTTTTCACCCCAGGCCTTTCCCCTGGTTTGATCTGACTGCGGTGCAACTCAAGGAAACTCCCTTTAGTCAGCATCTCTCAGCCAGTCCTGCTCTCCAGGACCACCTTACCTATCAATACTGTAATTCATTTGGTATCTCCCTAACCAAAGAACAGCAGCCAGCGGTTTCCACGGGCTCTCCCTCTCAGTGAGAGGAGAGACCTCGGGAATCAGAATTTTTTTTCCCTCCACACTGCTTGTACCCTGATTATCACAATTGTCACTGGGAGTCACGTGAGTGTATTGTGTTTGCCACATATTTGGGCATCGAGGAATTAGAAAATGGTACTAATTAATCTTTAACATATAGAATAAAATGAGGTCTTTTATATCAGTATATTTGGGTATGTCTGGCTTTTGGAAGCAACCAAATGAAACCATAACCTGACACACTTAAGTAAGTTGCTTCCCCAGGAATATAAATTATCTTTCTTCTAAAAGCTAAGTTCAAGAAATTAAGTCATTATTAGACAATACATACTGTGGCTTGTTTTCCTATAGGAGTGTGTAGCTGACAAATGATACGTCTTGATTTTCCTACCATTTTGGATAAAGAAGTAAAATGTGGTAAATGATCTTAATTAAATTATGACTCATTTCATGCTTATTTCAGCTATACATGACTTCCCTGGAACCATCTTATTTAAAACTGTTCTCATTTAAACCATTTTATTTTTATTTTTAAATAGATGATAAGAAAGTACTGCTTGCCAAAAATAAAATAGCTCATCTCAAATTATTGGACACTTGGGAGTCAGGACCCTTTCCTCTGAGATCTCTTTAGGCAATTTACACAGGAATGCTTCCCGATGGTACCCTAGCTGCCCCTCACTGACCGATTTAAACCACTTTAAACCACATAACCATTTTTATAAACAGCTGGCATTTATATTAAGTGGCTAAAAATAATTTTGCAAAATATAGATCTTATCCCTACAGTGCAAAGTGATTGCCTTTATGTTTTGCAAATATTTTGTCAGTGATAGAGTGCAGAAGACAACAGAGGTGAAGTGACCGTGAGGGCAAGGAGGATGACACTGACTCTGCTCTGCCATTGACCAGAACCACTGTTTGCTAAATGCGGAAGTGCTCTCGAACAAAATCATTCACTGTACATGTAAACCACCATGGTGTTAGGTTAATCATTTACACTTTTCCTTTTTGCATAACTGTAAGCCAGGCAAACTCAATGGTATGGCATAGAATGGTCTGAGACAAAATTTCATTGGTCCAATTTGGGGAAAAAGTAGGTTCATCATCAGATAGTAACGCTTGGTATGAATGCTAATTTGAGGTACTACTCCTTTTCTTAGGAAAAAAAAAAAAAAGAATTGGGATTCTTTTGACTATTCATTCAGGTGTAGGGAACTGGACAGAGTACATCATTGCCCTTCTGGATTATGGTAGTCCTTTAGTGGCTCTTAAGAGTTAAGTGGTGAGGCTGGGAAGAGGAAGAGCAGTTAAGTCTACACAACTAGAGAGGAACTGGAGTCATTCAAGCAAGAAGTATTTTGCCATTTCTTTTGAGCAGTCCAGTCATGGGTACACTCTAGCCTGAATTAATTCATTCAATCACTCTTTCTTCCTTCCTTTCCTTCCCTTTCCCTTCCCCTCCCCTTCCCCTTCCTTTTCCCTTGCCTTCCCTTCCCTTTCCTTTCCTTCCTCCTCCCCCCCTTTCCTCCCTCGCTTCCCTCATAAACCCTACTCCCAATGTGGGGCTCAAACTCACAAACCCAAGATCAAGACTGCATTCTCTACCAACTGAGCCGACCAGGCACCCCCTGAATTTCATTTTATAAAGGTCTGGAAGGTACCATATAGAAGAGTCTTGAAAATAAACCCCAGTCCCTATTCCATAGTCAGTGGTACTTCTGTAAGCCACATTGTGTGTAAGGATAAATATAAATTTTTAAAAATACTAAAAACTTTTTTTCTCTAATGCAAAAAGGGAAAGACTACCCTCCCCCCTTTTCTTAAAACATTTTCTTTAGAAGACATGTAATTTAAATCCTTTCTCTGTTTTTGAGATGTATGTAAATCTTCTAATAAGTTGAAGAAGTCACCTGCCGGTTTTATATCCCAAGACTGTGTGTTTGGGAGGCTTTGGAGCCATGTCTTTGAAATGGGAGCATTGGGGAGGATGGCACCCTGTCTCCCTGACCCACATGCCTGGCTCCACATAGTAACTTCCTGTTTGTCATCAAGATATGAGAAATTTTATTCTTCCTTTGGATACAGTTGCCATGTAAGTAATGTGTTATATCTGCCTGACTTAAAGGGTGGCATTTCCTTGACTTCATAATCTTTAGCAACTTGCCTGTGATGCCCAACACTGCTGATTTAGTGCTGATTCAATAATACAACTGTTTCTTTTTCTGCATTTGCAGAGAACCTTATTCGGGTTGGCAGGAGATTTTACTTTTAATTCCATTTCTCTAACATGTTCCTACGACCAGATGCATTACTAGAATTTCTCAAGAATTACCCAGAAAGAGAAATATTGCAACCTTTGTTTAAACATGGGTCTAACTTGAAACACAAATAAAAAGAAAGTGCTTAGAGTTGGGGATAGAACTGGAAGTGGAACCAGAAGTTCTAACTCTAATCCTTAAAGAAGAAGAGAAGAGAACCCAAAAGAACACACTCTTCCCCCGCAAGTAGTTCAGTTTGATCTTCCAAGGTAAGTGAAACAGCTTTCCCCTACAGTTCAGTGTCATGCTATGCTTCCTTCTCTTCAGGGGTGGTTATTTTTGGAGCATAATCCTGTAATCCTTCTGCTTGCACAAATTCAGAGAAGGTCAAGGAATCAGATTTTACCCCAGTGTGACCTTTTCGCTCTAAAAATAAGCCGATATTGTCCCTGTAGGGCAGGGTGATGGTGCGACTGAACAATGGCTCTTCAATTCCGAGGAGCACCCGTGTATGTCGAGAAATTGCCTACAATACAAGGATAATTTTTTAATGAAAAATTAACTGAAAATATAACTAAATCAAAGAAGTTTTACTTATTTTCCTAGGTCTCTTGAGTGCTAACCTCTTAATCTTTGGGAAAATTAAATAATGAAATAACACATGGAAAGGCTTAGTAGCCAGGTCATTATCAAAATAAAGTTTTTATGAAAAACATCAAGTGGGCGCCTGGGTGGCTCAGTTGTTAAACGTCTGCCTTCGGCTCAGGTCACGATACCAGGGACCTGGGATCGAGCCCCACATCGGGCTCCTGTTTCTCTCTCCTATTCCCCTTGCTTGTGTTCCCTCTCTCACTGTACCTCTCTCTGTCAAATAAATAAACAAAATCTTAAAAAAAAAAAAGAAAAAGAAAAAATCAAGTAATTTATTATCTTTTTATAACTTCCATTTAAAGATGTTTCTAGGCCCTGCATCAGCTTGCCATGGATGGGTTCATTTCTTTCTTTGGGCTGAACAATCCGATCAACCCTGTGAGCAGATAATATGTTTAGATTAAGAGTCATGACTACCTGTGGGAAGGTTAATAAATAACTTGTCTATAAGGGGCTCAGCTAACTTGCAATTAAGAAAAAAAAGTCATTACTCAAATACTTATTCAATTTGACTAAACACAAATCTCAAACACTAAAAAGTCAGATATTAAAGTTCTAGCTATTTGGGGGAAGGGACAGGGGAAAAAAAGTTCCAGCTGTTTTATTAGTACTTATCCTTGTATATTCTTTACAAGGCCCTTTGCCACAATTCTCAGTGTCTCTAAAACATATTTTGTATTTATTGACCTCCATGCCACTTGATATCCTAGATTAAACTGTCACTGCATTTTCAAATTCTAGCTTTAATCATAGGTCTGTTATAACATTGCTATCTGAATCCATATTCTGCATCTGGATGAGAATGTAGTCCATGAAATTTCTGCGAGAACACAGCCAGAGCGGTGAGTAGATCCTTTCTCTTCTTTTCTGTTTTCTTTTCCTCTTTTCTTTTCTTTTTTCTTCTCTTTTCCTTCCCCTCCCCTCCCCTTCCCTTCCCTTCCTTTTCTTTTCCTTTCCCTTTCCTTTCCTTAGTTTAAAACTACTGGTTATAGTTACGAGGTTGTAAAATGGATTCGTGCTACATTCTTAACCTGATGCAAAACTGTCCATTAGTAATGCATTTTAGATAGATAAGATACAGGGTCCCTGGTGGCTCGGTTGGTTAAGTGTCCCACTCTTGGTTTTGGCTCGGGTCACGATCTTGCAGTAGTGAGATCGTGCCCTGTGTTGGGCTCCAAGCTGAGTGTGGAGCCTGCTTAAGATTTAAGATTCTCTCTCTCCCTCTCCCTTTGCCCCCTCCCTGCTCATGCCTGTACGTGTTCGCTCTCAAACAAACAAAAAACAAAACAACAAAAAAACAAACCAAAAAACCAAACTATTAAAAAAAAATAGACAAGGTACACCTAGGTGGCTCAGCCGGTTAAGCGCTGCCTTCAGCTCAGGTCATGGATCCTAAGGTCTTGGGATCAAGTACCACATTGGGCTCCTTGCTCAGCGGGGATCCTGCTTTTCCCTTTGCCTGTTTCTCTCTCTGCCTGCCACTCCCCCTACTTGTGGCATTCTCTCTCTCTGATTTAAAAAAATATTTTAAAAAGGTAGACAAGGCACATTTTTCTCACATCTTTCTTGGTTTTGTTTAGACTCTAGAGATGATTTGTGGGTAAGAGAGTCTACACCGTTGCCTTGTATTCCTAGTGGGAATACAATTGAGGTCTGTAGCAACTGAGGTTTCTAAAAGTATAGATCCAAATGACTACTCTTTAAGGATTCTCATTTGTAACTGATGCTGCTACAATGAGCACCTTGTTTGGTCCGTACCACACCCTGAATGCCCCTTACCATAGCAGATTATTTGACAAATTCACTGAGGCTTTACAGAGGGTTCCCCAGGAGGGACCCTATAGTCATAAACAAATTTATTCACTATTAACCAAAAGAGTTATGTGCCCACTGTAGGCTGAGAAAGTCCAGTACTGTTTAATATTCTAATGCAGAAATTAAAAGTATTACAAAAGCACTGGTTACATGTGGAATCAGGAAATATAATCTAACCATCTCTCTTCTGCAAAGGACTAAGAAGGTCCTTTGATGGGCTATAAATTAATCTAAAACTGTGAGTTCTTTCTTTAGTTCTGATGAATAACAACAGA